GATTCTCGAAACCTCTTCCAAACTGAAACACCACATTGTCACGGAGCTTGGCAAGACAAGATTTCCAAAAATATCGGAATTACAGTGATTCCCATCTGTGCTGGCTTTCTCGTTATATTTTCTATCTTTCTCTTTCTCTGTCTCTTTCTCTTTGAGAAATATATCTTCAAAATATGATCTTCTTTCTCTCGCTCCTGTTTCCCTTCTTTCTTTCTCTCTCTCTCTCTGCAGTTGTATCTTACCTCTTTCTCTTTCTCTCTCTCTTTCCCTTTGTCTTTCTATCTATGTATCTTTCTATCTTTTCTATCTGGCTCTCAATCTAGCTAGCTAGCTAGCTAGCTATCGATCTATTCGTTTCTCTTGCTATCTTTCTCTCCCTGCGTATCTGCCCATCTATCCGTCCATGCGTCTATCTATCTACCTATATAACTATCTTTAGCTAGCTGTCCACTCTATCGAATCTGAGTTTTATCCAGTCAATCTAGCCATCTATCTATCCGTCTATCGAAGTCTCATCGCGCAAAGACAGCGGGCTTTGCAATCTCATTTGCGTGTTGAACGGGAGGTCTTTCTGTTTCTCCCACGCCAGCCCATGAGATCAGCGGGGTGTAGAATGGCTTAGACAGTCAGTCTGGGTCGGTCAGTCAGTCAGCCAAGGCGGTCAGTCAATCAGTCAATCAGGCAAGTCAGCTCAATCAGTCAGAGTGCAAGTTCACAAAGCCGTCAACTACCCAGTGCGCCAGGAGCAGGCTATCTAGTTTTCATGGCATTGACAAGCTCGAGTGCACGAAACTGCTGTAAGACAAGCACACTAGGACACAAGGCAGCCCCTGCCTATTTTGGTGGCTGACCAGCGAAGAAAAAGCTTTGCGGCGCATCCCAAGTAGAAGCGGCCGGGGCAAAACTAGCTGTTTGGAAGGGTTTGACAAGGCCTTTCACAACTGCAAGCAAGCTTGCACCCAGCCCAGGATCTCACGTATGGCGCGGCTGAATTTGAGCAGCAGGTCGGCGGTGTGAAAAACGTTCACCTCGCACAAGCCCTTCGCTGAGCGCAGCCGTGATTTGTCAACAATCCTCAACTGCACACCTGACGCATGTTCATTCTCTGACAAGGCGTATGAAACAGAGTCCTAAAATTACTGGAGAAACGCCCAGCCTGCCAATGACACTTTCGGCTGCGCAGCGTGAACGCCCAATTGTTCCAAACTTTGCCGCTGGGGTGCTGGGACTGCGCGCAATGCCACCTCCGCCGCATCGGCGGACGTGTCCTTGGATTAAGAACTAGGTGAGAGATGTCCGGGGTTCCCTTGCCCACGCGAAAGCTCAGAACACACGAGGGGGAAAAGGTGTGTCAACCGAGGAGAGGGCATGTGCAGCATCATGACAAGTAACACCATGGAGCCGCAAAAACGTAGCGCGCAAAGAAACAGACCATCCTGCGCACGCCGATGGCCGAGCAGCTGCGATAGTTTCCTGAACTGCTTCCCCTAGGTCGTAGAGCAGGTTGTTCAAGGCGGAGTCCTTGGTTTACAGAACTCACACGTTGGAGGCTTCAGAAGCTGTGATTTTTTGCCATCTGTGAGGCTCTGCGACTCTCGTGGCTCTGGCTCTGGCCGGTTTCGAAGGTTGGCAGAAACCAAAATGCTGCGCAACACTTGGGACACGTCGAGCCAAACAATCCAAATCCTGCCCCCACCATGCCTAGGACGGCTTGCCGTTTAGTTGTTTGTTTTGCTTTGCTTGTTGCTTGTCCGCTGAACCACCGTTCCCCGAAGCATGGCTTGGACGCTACGGTTGTTTGCTCTGTTGTTTTTTGTCTTTGGCCCACTGCTCCATCGAGCCATTGCTCCATTCCCGGGTGAATGTTTCGCATCAACTCGGAAATTTTGGGCCCCTATCAAAGCTGGTCTGTCTCGGGTGATCTGTAAACCTGTGTCCTCCTGAAGTCCGCAGCGACATGTCTAAACGTGCGACTACCGCGTTTTCATGGTTACTGCCAGGTGGCCTGCGTCGTGCGACCTCAAAGACCAATCTATGCGCTCGCGTAACCTCATGCGCGCCTTGCCTTGTAACGCGCTACCAGGACAGGGCGACAGGCGCGTGTCTTGGGCCTTCCGAAGTGCACAGCTCTTTCGCCCTAGAGCCCTCCAAGTTGATGCTGCGTGCTTCGCACAGTCGAATCTCCACATTCCAAAGCATTGGAAATTCGAGTGACAAACGCGCAACTCCAGCGGCGCAAAGCGGAGTTGGCTTTCTGAACCCACTAAGTAGAGTTGCCATAGCCTGGCAGCCAAGCCCTTGCAGCAAGCACGGGCCCAGCCAAGGCACAGCCGGCGACGGCACGCCCCGCTACAACCAAGTGCAGCGGCACGGCGAGCGAAGTGCGACCAACATTGGCCGAAAAAACGAACTTTATAGGGGTGTCGCAATTTCTGAACCCAGTAAAGTAGAGTAGCTATAGCCGGCAGCCACAGCCCTGCAGCAGCACGGGGCCAGCCAAGGCACAGCAGCCGGCTATGTAGTGGCACAGCGAGCCAAAATTGGCCGAGAACAAAAACGCATTCCAGTCGCAGTTTCTGAACCCACTAAGCCCGTGGAATCAGAGCACTCGGGCCCTCCAGGGCCGACTCACGGGAGACGCTCATGCGTCGAGCTTCTCGGCACGAGAACCAGCAGAAGGAGTCAACTACTGGAAGAACAGGCTGAAGAAGTACGCCCTGAAAGAAAGGCACGACCAACTTGTATCTTGGTCGACTCCTCAGTTTCTTCAATCATAGAAGACTCAAAGTTTCTCTTGCTACGCCAACTAAAGGCAGCATATGGAATGATCTGATGCCCGTCGTCGCGGCGCCATCCCCAGACTATATCCAATCAGCACGAGACGCAAGCCTGTTTCTAAAGCCAGACAACCCGGAGACTTTGAGACAGTAAGTCAGTGGAATGCAACAGAGACATCGTGACGCGTATCCACTCAATGAGAAATCTCAGTGCACAGTTCTTCATCACTCAGAGTGATCTGTCAGGTCAGCACTACTCCTCCCCCCCCCCCAGCGCATGTCTTTGTGGCACATCCAGTTGGAAAGTTACACAGACACAGTATCACAAGCTCTTCAGATCCAACACTTCGTCTGCAAGCAGGCTCTTGATAGAACATCTTCTACATGCTTGAGTAAGGAGAATACGAAGGAGAAGAAGGATTTTGGGTTGAAGACGAAGACGGAAAAATGGTTTTACGGGCACTGAAGATGAGGAAACATTCTGAGTCTTCGAAGACCATGATAGATTCGCAGTCAGAAAACCAAAAGGCAAAAGCATCCGGAAGAGCGGCGCAGACGGCAAGGCCAATGTGGCCAAACCACATCAGGTCCCTACGGCCAAGCAAATTGGGGAAAAGAAGGGCGGAAAAGACAAAGGAAAGTCCAAAACATTTCCCGCTGCCGCGAAAAAGTCAGAGGAACAACCCGCCAGACAGCCCTTTCGGAAGAGCGGCGCAGACGGCAAGGGCCAATGTTGCCAGAACCCTGCGGCTAGGGAAAAGGCGAAGGAAGGGAAGGAAAATACAAGTGTCAGAGCCCTTTCGACGAAACAAAGGTTGTCCATCGTGTCACGGCGGAAAAGGAAAGGGCGGAAAAGGCAAAGCAAAATCCAAAGCACCCGCCTCTGTTGCAGAAAAGCCAGCCGCCACACAGCAAGCTGCTACCTCTCAGAGCCTTCACACGCCGGCTTGATCAGATTTGGGGCTTCATCCTGGAGTTCGAGCGAAAGTGGCTGGTGCTCAAGTCATAAAATTTTCAGCGCAGGACATGCGACGATGGCACGTCATGACGCTTCTCAACATCAGGACAATGAGACCATTGAGAAGAAACTGATCCACGACGGTACAATTTCTGCTCGCAACCTCTCAGTGACCCATCACAAACTACTAGAAATAAAGCCAATGGCACCGGCCATAAAACCGCGAACAACCCCGGCTTCTGCAATCCTGTGTTTCGGATGCGGGAAGCTGGCACGCGATCCAGAGATTCACTCAGGCCAATGGAGAATCAGCAAGGAACTGGACCCGAGCACGAAAATCGACTCTTCCGCAGCCTTTTTGAACCATTGACCTTCATACATCCATTTGTGTGGGCCCAAGACCCTCTCTGTGCAGCATCTGTCGCGCCTACAAGCAAAACAGGCTGTCTGCGATTCGCCCCCCGGGCCTTCACACGGGTATTTCCACAAGATCCTCGTCATCAGTTCTCCTGTTGAAATCGAGATAGACAATCACTTCCTAACGCAAAAAAAACCTGCCACTTTCGATCACTCCCAAACACCGAAATCGAGGGTCGCAGACCAATAACAGTTATACAACGGGTGTCTTTCCTTCAGGATCACTTGCCCCTGGATCGGGACTCAACTCTGGCGGCAGAGCAGGTTTGTCAGACAGTCAGACAAGAACAGGGAAAAAAACCGTCGCCTGGAAAAGCCGTCCTGTTGGCAGCGCGAAGGAAACACTGAATTTATCGGTCAGATTTGAGACACTCGTTGATGATAGGGTTTCATTCGCAACCTCTCCTGAAGAGCCGAATCACAGGCGCTGCCACTCATGTTTTCGCACGCTGCTCGACAAGGCACAGCTCAGAGATGGAAATGAAGAGGTCAACTACTTCAAGAACACGATGAAGAAATTCCTGAAGGGAGCCACAAACGTGTGTCGTGACCAACCCCTCAATCACAGGAGGAGACAGAACACTGAGATTCTCATCCTCGTACCCAGATTTGAAAAGTAGATGAGAAGACTGAAGTCAGCATGGAGCGATTAGAGCGCAGCCACCTGGCCGCGCAGCAGCAGCAGCAGCAGCCTGCTGCAGGGAGCACCGACTGCCCCGTAAACATTGACATAATACTCTACAGCAGGAACGGTTCAACGGCAACGTCTGGGTCCTCGAAGACCATGACACGTTCGCAGTCAGGAAAGTGTCAGGGTGACATTTCAGATCACGAAGAAGACAACGAAACTCCTAAGTAGGTGACAAGGGCAGTCGCCGGCGAGGGGCTTCGATTCAGAGGGAGCAACGCGGACGGCAAGGCCCGCCAACACAGGACCCCTACAACCGGGCATGCCCGGAAAAGGGCAAAGGAAAGAAGGGAAAGAAAAGAACATTCAAGTGTCAGACCCCTGTTGACGGAAACAAAGGTTGCCCATATGTCATGGTTCATGATACTTTTCAACATCCTGCCACGCTTGCAACCTCTCAATAACAACAAATCACAGCCTGCTAGCAACAACACTCACGGCGCCGGACGTAAACCCGCAAAACAACCTGACCCCCGCAGTCCTTGACAACGGATTCACAAGGTCTATGGGAAGCTGGTGCGCAATCAGGCCATCGAACCAAGGAAGAGGCTCACTTCCTACGAGTACATTCCGGCAAACACCCAGTTCACTTTTGCCAATGGAGGGTCAGCTACGGTCAACTGGGCCTTGCGTTAAGTGTCGCCGATACGTCTCAGTAGTGGTCAAATGAGGAACTTGCACATGAACATTGAGCACACTCCTCAGTGTGACACTTTTGCGTGTCTCACAACCCGTTCCAAGCAGCGGGCGCAGGACAGAACCTGCAGTATCAGAAGACATCAGTAACCAACGACGTCGTACTCAATAGCTCGAGGTTAGGTATGTAACTTCTGATTAGCTTATGACCTAACTCGTAAGTTGGAGAAGTTAGGTTGTACTAGATAGACTGGGCGGCTTGAGGTTAACATCAAGTAACTTGCAACCAAACATATAAGTGACTCAAGCACAACACAAGTAGGCTGCAAATACAAGTAACTTGCCAGGTACTTATGCTGAACTTACGGGGAACTTACGAACGCTGCGAGCTTGCTTCTTTGAAATTCGTGGCCGCGCGGAGCCTCTATGGAAAGAACACGGGGCACACAGACTGCGCACCACGCTGTAGATATGTGCTTTCTTGGTAACGTTGCCCGTTTTTGTGCTTGAGTGATAGCAGTGGGTCACGGCGGCGTGCGACGCTCCCAAGACCGACCGGGCTGCGCAGCGTGAGGTGATATGTGTGTAAGTAATCTGTGAACTCTGGGACGCGACCCTCGAAACCACCGTTCGGGGCGCTCTTTCTGGCCTTCTCCGTAGCACTTCGCCTCCTTTCGTGCGTGGTTCCCGCCGCAGCCGCTGCAAGCGTGATGGTGGTGGCGCCTGCGGTCGTGAGAGAGCGCACGAGCCGTCTCTGCGGCGAGAGGACTTCGACTGCCACCGCTGGCTGATTTCACAGCTTCGCGGTGTCCGGCTGGCAAGTGGGCCTCTGCTTTGCGTCACACTGGCTTCCCGTGGGTGTGTGGCCTTCAGCGAAAAACAAGGGACGCGCGGCGAACTTACGGGGAACGTAAAAGCTAAGTTAACTTACAAGCAGTCATGCGTCACTAACCTGTAAGTTCCGCAACTAACTTACAAGTAGCAAAACTCTTCCCGGTGCACTTCGTAAGCTACACAAGTAGCAGAGCTAGCCCCTATCTACTTGCGCAGACATACGCTACTTACCATGTTTTGTACTCAAAGCCAAAAGTAACTGATATGTAACTTAGGGTGAACTTAGAAACACGTTGCGTTTTGGTTTTGTTGAGCACCAGCTGGACCCCCGCTCGGCAAAGAACGCAGCGTCGATTGGCGCATCATCTTTTGGGGATAGTCACTCCGGGGGGGGGTGATGTTTTGAGATGACTTCGGCTTAGCTCGGCCCAAGGCGATTTCCACATTGTCCCACGGGCTTGCGCTATGAGTGGCCTATTTGCGGGTGGGCACGAGGCGCAAAAGGATCTGAAGCCTTTTGGGCTGGCGCTCCCTGTTTCCCCCGCAATCAGTTTTGGTTCCATTAGCGGTTCTGGCCGGGGCGTCCCACCGATACTCCGCCGATGTTTCCCCCAAAATGGAGATATGACGCTCCCGGCAAGCCCCTCCGATGTTCCCCCACTTGCGCTCCGCAACCCCTTTTTCCAAGCTGAAGGCGCTGTAGCTGCTTTGCGACAGCGTCCGGACGAGGCCGTGGCCGTGCGTCGTCACCGCGCAACAAAAAAGCTAGCCTGCCGAGCCTGCAGGGCCCTCAGCAGCCTCGTCCACAGAAAGCTTTGGCGCCGCGACGCCGACTCAGCGCATCGCTCGCACTGAAACAGTTCGAGTCGCCGCGCGTGGTCGCTTTTTCTATATACTTTTCCACGCCCGCGATTGCATTCCGAAAATCTGAAAGTCCAACAACATCACGTGACAAGGGGTAACCTAGGGGCAACTTAAAGTTCCCCCGTAATTGGCCTGCGGGTAAGCAATTTAGATGTTCCCTAAGTAAGATATAGCGTCAGAGAAGCAAGATCGTTGGACCACAAGCAACTTACTCGTGTTCAACCTGACAGAAATGAAGGAGTGTCCAGTTGATCCTGACAAGGTCAGCCGCGAACGTACCACTCACATGATTGAGGCAGCAAAAGGTGGAGATCCAGACACTCTTGAAGACAACTGCAGACTTTCCTCACAACCAAACAAGCCAACGGATAAACAACCTGTGGCAAGGCAAGAACATCTTCACATCTGCAGACAGTTTGCTGAAAGACGAGGAAGACAGTTCATCAGGGCCAGCAGCAGATAAGAGAGCCGTCAACGACCGCATGGACTCCCGCGAGAGATGCAGGCGTGTCAAAGGACAGATAAGACCGCGTGGATAAACTAGACATCCGCAAGTTCGACGGCTCTATGACTCCCGATTCACAAAAAACATCAAACAAAGATCCCTTACAGACATTACATATCCGCAGAGAATTATTTTTGGGCACCAAATTCAGGTTCTCCGGAGTACGAAGTTAAGGCAAGGTCCGACTCTGAAAATGTCTCTCTCACCTACAAGGAAAGACCAGCAGGGTCTCCTGCAAAAGATTCCGTCAAACGATCAAGGGATGATCAAGGGCAGAAACTTTCCTAAGGAAGCGATGCTGGACAAGCAAGAAATTTCACGTCTGCGTGACGCGTGGGCAAACTTCTCACAGTGCTCAGCATAGTGCCCAAGAAGAACCTCCAGAAACGTGGAGCAGAAGAAGGATACACCTCTTCGCGAGGAGAGTAACACATGGATTCACGTACAAAGAAGCCAGCCAAAGACCATGCCAAAGCCTCGTCAAGAACCGTGACCAATGCTCCTCACGTAGTATCCGTAGCCTTGCGGATGACCTTCACTGAGAAAGATTCACGGCAGCAAACTCGCTCATGCAACAGGCTCGAACGGCCTGAGTGCGATCCTGGCCAACGGATACGTGATTCCCGGCGCTAACACAGAGATGCCATATCACCAACAGACACTTTCAGATTTCCAAGAGATCCTGCCCAAAGATCACAGACACGCACAGATGGTGCCAAAAGATCCTTGAAGAGATCTTCCGCGAAGATCCAAAAAAGAGAGACTAAAATACCTCATCCTTCTAGACATCCCCCCCGTCTTGCGCAGGAACTGCAAAGATTTCCAGTCAAGAGGCCTTGGTCTTGCAGAAGGCGCTCCCTACTTGTAGATTCTTGCCAGGATCCTACCCAGGTCTCGCGCAAAGATCCTGCAAAGATTGCGGTCTTGCGCGGGACCTGTGAAGGCTTCTTCGCAAGGAATCTTGTAGAGGGTGCTCCCGGCAGGTCTTCCAACACAACGCTTGTAGAGGGCATCCGATGGAGAGAGCCTATGCAGAGATCCTGCGCAGACAGCCTGCCAAACAAAAAACCTACAAATATCTAAGCAGATCTTGTGCAGGACTTGTGCAAGGTTTCATCTTGACACGTCTTGTAAGGGACGCTCCCTACAAAACCTGAAGGGAGAAAGGGAGAAGGGGAGAGGGGGGGAGAGAGAGAGAGAGAGAGAGAGAGAGAGAGAGAGAGAGAGAGAGAGAGAGAGAGAGAGAGAGAGAGAGAGAGAGAGAGAGAGAGAGAGGGAGAGAGAGAGAGAGAGAGAGAGGGGTTCTCTTGAAGACCCTGCGCCCAAGAGAATCATTCCGTCCACTTGTCCAAAAACTTGCAGAAGCGGTAGTTGCGCAAAACCTTGTGTAGAGACTTTGCTGACAGCTTAGCCAGCTCGATGCCGACCACGTCCTGAGGCTGACCTGTGCCTGAGCAGCGGGCCTTCCTCAAACCAAGGCGTCCACTTACCTTGACACTCCCGCATAGCTTCAAAGTCCAGGCCAAGGCGCGCCACAGCTGTGGCGCTGGAAGTAGGCCTTTGTGGCATCCTCCAATGCCTAGGATCTGCAAAAAACTCCTGGGGCAGTTTGGTTGGCAGGGTAGAATTGAGCAGCTTCGTGGGCTGGCTGCCTTGCTGCCCTGTCTCTATCATGCGCTGAATGTTGTCTATAAGGCGCACTGCTGTGGCAAAAGACGATCGTGCGCCCCGCTTTCACATTCCCCCGTTTGGGGCGGGCATTGGTAACTCACTTCGGCCGAAGCGGCGATGCAGGGCGAGTGCCCCAGTACCAGGATCAGGCGGCAGCCCAGGTCCACGCAGAACTCCAGGCTTGCCACCATGCTGCCGCTCGCCTCATACTGCAAGTACTAGTCTCTTGGCCCCCGCTTATGATTGGAAGCCAAATGCAGAGCGACGACGAAACAATCTGCAAACCATGGGTTTTCCTCCGACGGGGTTGAAACTAAAGCCGGGGAGTTCTGCCATCGGCGCAGGTTGGGGCCACGTTTCAGCTTGCTATTCCAGGCTGCGTGGGTCAGCGTGTTGCCGGCGTTTTTGAAGGCGTAGATGTCACCTCCAGTTGGGCAAGAAAGCATTGAACATAGGGGCTCCTACATAACTACTTGTCCGACCTATAACTTGCGCATATCTTACACAATTGTCCACAGTTTGCCTGCCAAGTGCGCTTCTGCCAAATGTTTACCTTGTCCAAAACTGCTAGGCCCCTTGTCCTGCCGAGCATGCAATTTGACTCTTGCTTCAAGTACTTACAAGCCCGCTTCGCCATCCGGTTTTCATCTTGCGCAGGCTTGCTCAGAGACACTTGCGCAAGCATCCTTTCGCAGAGAGCCTGCTTAGAGACACTTGCTCGGAGCATTGCGAGAGACTTGCGCAAGGAATCTTGTGCAAGAGACTTCCTCAAGAAATTGCTCTTAAAAAACAGGCGTGCAACTCTACCCAGCTTTGCGATAGGTTCTTCCGGTTAACTGGCACAAGCACCTCCACAGAGAATTTGCACAAAGAAGTTTCCGCGTGAAAAGTGCGCTGGCGAAAATGGGCAAGAGAAAGTTGAAAGTGAGCTGACTGAGAGATTTCGCGCAAAAAAAAATTGCACGGATAATTTCAACACAGAATTCACGCACGTACCATTTTGTGCATGGCAGTTTCGCAAAATCATTTTCACAAGCGATTTTGTACAAAAGAAAATGCGCCAGGTAGATTGCGGAAAATACCTTGCGCACAACAATTTGCGTCGGACAGGACGACGTGCGCCTGCGCTTTGCCAACGTTCGAGTGTGGCTCATTTTGTGGCCCGGTCTTGGGTGTCGGACACTTGGGTCACTAGGGTCACTTGGGTCACTTGGGCCACCCTGTGGGACACTTGGATCAGTTGGGTCACTTGGGTCATCATGATGAAAACGATAATGACAATGATGATGAGCATGATGAGAAAATGATGACGAGCATGATAAACTGATGATGAAAAGGGGCACAGCTAGGAACCCCAGCATTACCAGCAACACCTGCAGCGGCAACACGCGTGTTTTGTGCAGAAACAACTGTAGTTGGCACAGGCTTGGCCCGACTACAGTTATTTCCAGGCTTCTCATGGCCAGCACCACCAGTCGCACCCCCAGCATCACCAGCAACACCTGCAGCGGCGACTTGTGTGTTGTGTGCAGAAAGAACTGCAGTTGGCACAGGATTGGCGTTATTTCCAGGCTTCTCATGGCCAGCACCACCAGTCGCACCCCCAACATCACCAGCAACACCTGCAGCACCGACTTGCGTGTTTTATGCAGAAAAAACTGTCGGGACAAAACTACAGCTGTTTCCAGGCTTCTCATGGCCAGCGCCACCAGTCGCACCCCCAGCATCACCAGCAACACCTGCAGCGGCGACGTGCTTTATGCATAAAAAATGCAGTCGGGACAGGCTTGGGCCGACTACAGTTATTTCCAGGCTTCTCATGGCCAGCACCACCAGTACCAGCCGCACCCCCAGCGAACTGTAGTCGGGACAGGCTTGGCCCGACTACAGCTAATTCCAGGCTCCTCATGGCCAGCACCACCAGTTGCACCCCCAGCATCACCAGCAACACCTGCAGCGGCGACACGGGCCCGACTACAGCTATTTCCAGTCTTCTCGTGGCCAGCACCACCAGTCGCACGCCCAGCATCACCAGCAACATCCACAACATGACCAGCAATCTTACGCAGGGCAAACAGCGTGTGCGACCAAGCCTTCTACCACAGACAGTAAGTCGTGCTACAGCAGTCCACACTATGTTGGCCGAGAATCAACAAGTCAAAGCGCCAACCACTCTAAACAAAACAACAAAATTCCAAACGTCGTTACTTCTCCAAGCGGCTGGCATTCCGTAAGGTTTGCTTGAAGCAGCGTGGGGTGGCCCACATGTATTCTTGGAGCTGTACATAGGGGGGACCCGCGGGAGGTAACAGCAAGCGTTAAGCTCACGCAGACCTCATCATTTGCCAACTCGCCACGCCACGCCAGCATATGATCAATCCACATATCAAAATTCATACAATCTACATAAAACGTTTCAAATTATTCATTTTAAAGAACAACTTAAACCATTTCAATCAACCTCGCAACAGTTCTTGATATGTTTTTTCACTTGATACATGGTCAGACCAAGCAAAATACATCTCTTTCTTCTTACATTTAAAACATTTAAAACATCTAAACCAAAGCACATCCGGCCGTTCCAGTTTTTCACCATTCAAGTTTTCTGCAAGAAATATTGATGGTTGAAATATTTCTCGTCTTGAGACTTCTTCACAGTGATACACTTTTGGCCTGTTTGCTTGTATTGTCGCCTTCCCCTTTCCGCTTTCCCTATATTGTTTCTCCCTTTCCTTAATGTCATCCGCATTCTCTTCTTCATATTTTTGTCCGTATCCTTTCACCTTTTCAGGGCTATTCAACTTCCATCACTTTTTCGTTTCATCTCGCTTAATCTTATTATGTTCACGGCAGTAATCACAAATATAAACCCTGACATGAAATAAATCTGAAAAATGTGTATTTCCACACCGCCTACAAGTTTTCATATCGTCGCTCATCCCCTACCATAGTAAGCATCATCCATTTAGACACGAAAAACCACCAAACAACAAACATGTTGTCTAAATCTTCCTGCTTATGCTTGACATAATTTTCACTCCAGCTTTCCCTCTTCCACTTGGTGCCCGCAACAATTGAACGGTTGTGCCAGTATGAGGGCTCATCTGCCCCGATGTTTTGCTCATCAAAGCTGATGTTTTGCTCATCGGGGGCAGTGTTGTCCTTCAATTGCGGACATGTCCAGTGGTCAAAAAATTACACCAGCATAGACCCCAGATAGCACACCACAGCTACGAACCATGACGCAGCATCATAATCATGATGATGTTGACACTATCATGATGATGTTGACAGCAATATGCTGATGCACCAGTCACGAACGATTCCTCGCTACATATCTAGCAGAAGAAAAAGGCAGAACGATGAGTTCGACAGCATCATGATGGTGCAAACAGCATCATGGTGACGCGGACAGCACCACCATGATGCGGACAGCATCATGGTAATGGTAAAGGCAGCATCATGATTCATGATGATACCACAGCCGCAAATCATCTTGCGACAGCGTAATGAAAATCAGCATCATCCTGATGTTGACAGCATCATGGCGCCACCACACCCACGAACCATAACGCAGCATCGCAGTGACAGCAGCATCATGACGTGGTTGACAACATCCTGATGAAACACAAGAACCGAATCGTTTCAACAGCATCATGATGCTGCGGACAGCATCATAACCACGATACCCCAAACAGCACCCGCCCTAGCACCCTGCTGTCCATATTTGCGCCCGCACCATCACCAACACCTAAAAACAGCAGCCCCAACCCAGCACCCGCGCCAGCACCGGACACGTCCCCGAGCACCCTGCCGTCACGTACCGTCACCAGCCCGCACAGCACCCCCCAAAACCGCACCCAGTACCCCAAAGCGCACGCCGCATGCCCCCTAGCTCCCAGCAAAACAATACCCCTATGGCTTTCCGCCATCTGGGAAAATAATCGCCCGCGCGGTCAGCAGCACCTCAAAAAGCAACTCAAAACAGCACTTGCACCACCACCCCCAAACTGCATGCCCCCTAGCACCCGCCGCCAATCTCGGAAAATTGCGCCCACAACGTCACCAGCGCCGCATACAACACCCCAAACAGTACCACAAAATGCGCCTGATGGTGCACCTTAATCAAACCAAACAGCACCCCAGAGCAGCACCTGCACCAGCACCACAAACTAAATGCCCCCTAACGCTGAGAGTCCTCCGCCAGCGTCGCAAACTGCATGCCCCCTACCACCCGGCCGTCACCTCCACCGCACCCGGCCGTCAATCTAGCACCTCCAAGCACCCCGAACTACATCCCCCCCTAGCACTCGCCAAACTACATGCACTCCCCAAACTGCATGCCCCCTAGCACCCGGCCGTCAAGCTCGCAAAACAGCACCTCCACCAACACCCCAAATTGCATGCCCCCTAGCACCCGGCCGTCAAGCTCGCAAAACAGCACCTCCACCAACACCCCAAACTGCATGCCCCCTTGCGCCCGGCCGTCAAGCTCGCAAAACAGCACCTCCACCAGCACTCCAAACTGCATGCCCTCTTCACCCCGTCAAGCTTGCAAAACAGCACCTCCACCAACACCCCAAACTGCATGCCCCCTAGCACCCGGCCCTCAATCTCGCAAAACTGCACCTCCGCCAGCACCCGAAACTGCATGCCCCCTAGCACCCGGCCCTCAATCTCGCAAATCACTTTCCCTCCTTATTAGAAGTTAGAACCCCTATAGCTTTCAGCTATCTGGGGAAATACCAAGTTTAATTCATTTTAAGGTTCTTATTAACTATCTTAACAATTTATCTGTTATGTTAGAACTGCCCTTTAATGGTTAATCTGAGCCCAAACGAGTGTATGCCAAAACAGTAAAAACACCGGTCTAAGTTTTGAATGCAAACCTTCAAAAATTTGCCTGTTTCATTCAGCACTTTGTTAATATTTTCCTTTATAGTTTCATAATTATCATCATTCATGTCATCAGGGTAGGGAGACATGGGTAAGGTTGAAAAACTGCCTTCTTCCTATTCTCGTCCATTCTGCCTGGCTCTTGTGAAAAATCTAATTTGACTTGAAAACCGGTTGCAATTTCTACTTGTTCATAGATTAAGTTATATGATAATACTTTCAATGCTGCCCCTTCCAAATGGCACTCTTCTCTCAATGTCATATTCTCTTTTAACTTGTTTCTGCTTCCTTCAACTTACTTGTGTCCTTGTATATTGTTTGTGGTTCCGTTGTTGTAATTTTGTAATTGCTCTGAATTCTTTTTAGCGCTTTGTTGTGGCATTGATGTATTCTTCAATATTCTGGTTCTCCAAATTTGTAGTTCATAACATTGCTCAACATTTCAACAGGTAATTTGTTCACAATCTCCACCATCCCACTAATATATGTAGGCATTATTTCTTTATACCCTTCTTAGTCTAAAACTAT